TTTTAAAATATAGTAACTAATTAAAATAAATTAATTTGATAAAAGAATAAAACAAATGATAAAAAGTAATCGAAAATAATGAAAAATATTCAAAAAAATGATGAAAAGTAATTAAAAATGATGAAAAGTAATTAAAAATGATGAAAAGTAATCAGAAAATGATGAAAAATAATTAGAAAATGATGAAAAGTAATTAAAAATAATGAAAAGTAGTTAGAAAATGATGAAAAGTAATTAGAAAATGATAAAATGTAATCAGAAAATGATAAAAAGAAATCGAAAATGATAAGAAGTAATTAAAATGATGAAAAGTAATTAGTTAGAAGGATTTTGATATTATATGAATATTTTTGAATATTTTGTATTTTTGAAATTAATGATTTTTATGTTACTACTATAACAATATATTTAATTATATCAAAATTATTAAATTTGACTAACTAAATATCATTTTTTAAAAATATTATACAAAATTGTACAAAATTTTTTTACAATTTTGTATAGTATTTTTATGATGTAATATTTTTTATTTAGTTAGCTAAATTCAATCAATTTTCTTTACAAAATAATAAAGAAATTTTATATAATTTTGAATGATTTTGTATAGTATTTGTAAGATGTAATATCTGCAAATCTAGTTAATTAAATTCAATAATTTTGATACTATTAGATGCATCTTGACTAGATCTTTCTAATAGTATCAAATTCATTTAATCTGGTTCACTACATGTAAAGATATTTGTATTCCTTTATTTTCTTTACATTTATTATCAGATTCAAAGTTTATTATAATTTTGCTAATATTTCAAATTTTTGATATATATCAAGTGAAAAAGAGAATATAAATATTTAAAGATAGATAATATATTCATTTGTTGGTCAACTAGAATGAAACCAGAAATATTTAAAGGTAATTATATTTTTTTGAAGTAATTTATAAATAAATAAAATCTAAGTTCTTTTTATTAATTTAATTATATATTATTGACTTTGCAATATAAACAAGAAATTAATTACAAATAATATAAAAGTATAACTTTGCAATAAAAATGAGAGATTATAAATCAAATAACAATAATACCTTTGCAATTAAGATAAAAAGTTATAAGAAAATATCCAAGAAATTATTAAAAGAAATATAAGTAATCAAAAATAAAACCACTTCTCAAAACTTAATTTTTAAAGCTAAGATATATATTATATTTATATAGTTATTTATTATTTAATCATCAAAATCTAGAACTAAATTTGATTAATAATAATTTTACATGAAAAATAATGTGTTTTCTATATTAAGATTATTTAATATGAGATTAATTATAGTATGAACATAATATGAAATATTATGGATAAAATATGAATAATATGAAATAAAAGAGAATGTGATCTATGAATCACATGTAAATTAACTATCCAATGAATTTGTTTTGCTGGATTGATCAAAAATTTGTGCATTCTTATTGGTGATTGACAAAAATTTGCGACCACTATTGGATGATTACACGCTTTAGCGTTAGCCATCTCCAAATTAGGAGAAAAGTGGTCCGATAATTGCCGATAACGATAAGTTGCACTAGCACCAGAACTAATACATACAAACAAAGAAAACCACAAATTTCCCTATTCAGTAAAGAAATAAAGATCATTCATCATCAATGCGCATAACGGTACGTAATTCATCATCATTACATAATTTTCAATTATAAATAAATACATGTATGATTTTTTCCTTTCTAGCAAATAAACATGGCATCTTCAAGGACGTTAGATGGGTCGTCGTCTGAAATCATTGAACTCGAAAAAAAGCCTCCTTCTTACGACGATGATGGCAAGCAACAACAGCAATTTAAAACATCACTGAATATTGATGGAGTGGTAAATCCTGAAATGTTACATGCGCATTTAGCCTTGCTTACGAAATTTAAAGGAATGGAGCAATCTGATGAAGTGATGGATGACCGGTATTTATTGCGAGCTGAACAACGATATATCGCATGGATAAACTTGTTGAATTATAAAAATTTTCCTGAAGAAAAAATGCCTATTCCTCCACTAGGTAATTGGGATAAATCATTTATTTTATGAAATCTCATTTTTTTAAAATTTCAATTGACGTTATTTACATTTTCTATGAAACAATAAAAGATGTTTGTTTAATATGGCACGCTCATTGTCTTTCGCCATTGCGCTATTACGAAGATATGTTACGTCTTCACGATCCTCAAGGACACAATTACAATTTCCCGTTAGCAAAATTGGCAAGTAGTATTTATTTAATTAATACACTCGTTATCATGTTTGAATTCTGAAAAGAATTTAATTGAACTTTTACTTGTAGCATGAGATTTGGGAACGAAATTCAGGACATCTTGACGACTATTCACAACAGATTTGGCAAGAATACACAAAAAAACCTTGGGTTCTTGAACAAAACGATGATTCTCCGTTTGATTTTAAGTGCCCGCTATGCAACAAAGTTAATCAAATTTCACCGTAAGTTTAAATGTTTATTCGATTTTCTAGATGTTGAACTAGTGATTCGATACTACCATATTAAATAATTTTAGAGATATTTACGTGAAGATCATGCGCACAAATGATTATGATGTAATATGCGATCAATGTAAAAAAACATACAAGAGTGAATTTCTGAGTGTATCTCGATTCCTGGAAGATATTCGCGCGTACAGAAGAGACCAAACGGAATTAATAGGGTAAATTTAATTGTCATAGGTTTTAGTTTCAATATATTTCCAGCACTAAAGTATTATTCCCATTCAAAGGGGCACAATTGTTGATTTGAAAAAAGGCGCTGTTGGTAAATCTGATGCAGAGACGGATTGCAATCTGCTCTTTGCTAATAACGCCATTAACATCTTCAACATCAATACCTGGAAAGATGTAAACACAAGAATCAAAGATCTTATAAATACCCTTAAACGCAGTCGCAAATTGAAAGATATACGAAAAGGGATGATCAAACGAATAATATTCGCATATATGAATATTCCGGCACCGTTTTCTATCGATCTCGTCAGTGCAGTTAAACGTCAACGAGATTTTACAAATAAGATGGTCGATAATTCTTGGATCAGTTGTACGACTGTTCAATCAAACGCAGTCGAACGTTACCACAAATTTATAAACTTGCAGAAGGATTACGCGGAAACGCTGTTTGTTCCGACCCTCGATATTGATCTTGCGTGGCATACACACATGCTTCATCCGCAACTCTATCGAAATTTTACTAGGAAACATATGGGGCGAATGATTAATCATGACGATACATTGGCAGAGAACAAGTTGAAGAGTGGATTTGCAAAAACGTCTCAGGCTTGGTACAACAAATATCGAGAACCTTATAGTCATGAGAGTCCGTGTAAATTTTTGATGACTAAGTTCAAGATATTCTTGTCGATATTGTTGCCTTTTTATGGTCTTTACCTTTTATGGCAATTTTATAAATATCGAAAAACAACTCATCGTCATGGTGATGCTAAAAAGAAAAATGAAAAATCTAGGTAGATATTTTTAATTGTTGTTTATTGCAATTTTTAATTAATATTAATGTTATTTTGTGGATTCAGTGATGATGGCAGTTACTCTGGATTCTGTGGAATGGGTGGTACAAACTATGCTTTTTTCGGTAAGTCTTATTGCAATTTTTTATTTTGGAAATAATAATAATTAACTTCTGTCCAAAAGGAGGTGGAATGTTTGCAGCCGCTGCTATCGCTTATGGTTGTGGAGGAGGTTGTTCACCCGGTGGTCCCTCATGTGGCGGAGGTTGTGGCGGAAGTTGTGGTGGAGGAGGAGCAGGTTGTGGTGGAGGAGGAGGTTGTGGTGGAGGTTGTGGTGGAGGAGGAGGTTGCGGAGGTTGTGGCGGATGATGAGGTGTCCTGATTTTAATCGTTATTATATTGTCATTAGGTAGGTTACATTCATTAAATATATTAGGAGCTAAAATATTATATTTAAACAAGTTCGCTTCTTGTCAGCTTATTCTCATATCGAGTTAATCAATTACACGTACGTGTCAACGGAATATGCGTCGCGCACACCTTCGGCAATAGCGGCTGTTTGACCACTACGTATATGTACTATATCTGCTGTGAATAAGCACCACCCTATTTCAATCCAAAATAATAAAACAATGAACAACAGTGAATAAGCACACCGCTAAATTTAAATCATAAAAATAAATCTAAAATCACTTTAAATGGCGATAATTTTAAATTGTCCAGAAACGAGTACCACTCCGTTTCTTATTTACGGTACATGTATATAAGGAAAAATTATCACCCCAAAATGTCACAATTAATTCGATATGTTAATGAATTAAAAACTCGTTTACTGTTATTTTAATATGTTTGAGCTTTGACAGTATAATCGAGCCATTAGCGTCGCATTATGCCAAATTTCGCTTCAAGTCATTGAAAATGCTAGAGAACGTCTCCAAATGACTTGTGAACCAGAGGTATGCAAGTAACCGATTATAATATTTTTGTCTAATAATAAATATTCCTGAATAATGCCTAGGCATTGGATCAGTTGGTTTCCGCTTCAAAGGGGAATTGAGAAAGGTAATCATGTATCTTCAGAGTGCTTATCGTCTTCATAAAATGAACTTGTCACTAAATCATTAATTCTAGAAATCGCGGGGTACCGAATCACTCAATTTGATTTTGAATTATTGAATTATGCCGCAGAAGAGAAATCCAATAACGAAAACAAAAAGCTAAAAAACTAATGGAAACAGAACAAAAAAATTATTACGGGACAGTATTGGAGTGTTGTTTCTGAAACAAAACGGAAGTCAATTAGAATGATAGTTTTCTTGCCTTGTACCTGTTATGATTTCCAAAGTCGATATCTTCCTTATAAACATATTTTTTCAGATTTTATTATACAAAAATTAAATGCACAGTAAGCCTAAATTTGAAGATTTCAAGTTTCATTCAGCAATAGTGCTTTTGTTTTTTCAGTGAATTGTACCCTAGAATAATACACAAAAAAGTATTCATTATAATTAAAACAATTATATTTTTTTCATAAATTAATTAATGAGTCATACCAAAGCAAATAAACTATTTGAATCAATCCTCTAGCAGCTGGTGTGCTTTTTGCTGATAATTATAAAAAAATGAGCTTAAGGATAATGTTCTTTCACGTAGTGCTTAGAAAATGAAGTAATGAATAATCTTGAATATTATCTGGTATACGATTCCCAATAATAGTTTGTTGACTGATCAAATTTAATTAGTTTCCCCTGCTTTGTTCCCAGTTCTTCACCAAGCACTATATTACCGGTACCAATAAGATTATCTGAGAGTCAGATATGTCTACACCAACAAAATCACAACTTGGATGATCTAAATTAAAAAGAAAAAATGGTTTATTAGACTAATACAATTAACCCTAGCAAATATAATATTCAGTCTCTGCGAGTTTTTTAGACTCTTAAATTCAATCAACAGCAATAATTAAATTAGTTATCATTAAATCCAATCAACAGCAAGTAGTTACCACTCCACCCCAATAAAGAGCAGCGTTCTTCTTATTTATTGCAGTGTTTTATCATAATTTTAAATGTCGGAACTTAGAACTGTCGGGATTTCGAAATATTGAGTTTTCGGGATATTGCATTTTCAGAGTTTCGTTTGTCAGGAATGGGTTAAAAGTATCGATCTAGGAAAAAGAAATTACAGTATTTAAAATTTTCATAAAAATAACGGATCCGGTACGAACCACAATCCCGACAGCTGATATGTCCGACAAACGAAATCCCAAAAATCCAACATCCCGAAAGTCCAATATCCTGAAAGTTCAACTTACCGAACACTCAACATCCCGAATGTTCAATATTCCGAAAACTAACATCCTAACAGTTCAAAATCCCGACACAGTTCAAAATCACGACTCACTGATCGACTTTTGTGTTATTAATATCGATATGCATGATTCCCACAAGAAATACATTTCGTTACGTAATAATAAATAGCAATACGTTAATAATCAGATACGTACCCTTATCGGTATTTGTATGTATGTCATTGATTCTTATGCAATAAAAATTCGTTTTTCCCACATCCCACATCTTAATCTAATATTGTTTAAGGCAGAACTCCGTAACTTGGCTAGTTTATACTTTTCCCTCTCCCTCTTTTTTTCTTGCTTTCATCTCACTCACTTTGCTTTTTTCTCACTCACTCTTTTTCATGCTCTCACTCTATGCTCTCTCATTTTCTCTTTATTGCTCTTGCTCACTCTTTCTCAATAAGAATAGCTATTTTTTAAAAGAAGTTGCTAACACAAGTGAAAGAAAAAAGTGACCATTTCTCCTTCATTGGAAGATTTATTCCTTCCTTCACTTTTAAATATAGCAATAATTAATCGGTCTATTTTTTGGGTGCAGTAATGAAATAATAATTTGTTTGATTGCACCCGGACTAAATGAAATATTCATCCATGATACAAAAAGATTATTATAAAATACAGTCAAACCTCTTTATAGTCACCACTCTCGGGAAAGAAAAATTGGGTGACTATAGAGGGGGGTTTTTTTTTACTATGTTTATATATAAATGGGAAAGCAAAATAGTGTGACCATAGAGAGGTTTGACTGTATAGTAATTACAGAATAGAAGGAGGTGAAAAGATAAAGGAGGATTTCGTCTTACCTTTAGGCGAATGGCATCTGCAATAGAAATGCCAGAAAAGTAAGTTTTTTTTAAAAATCATAATTTATCGTTATAATTAGCTATTTGATAATCAAAACTTTTTTTTATAACAAATAGCATCGATCCCTTTGAAAACGCAGAAGTTGAGATACGTGGTGGGATCGTAAAAATAAAAGTAACAAAAACGATAAATCGACTATGTCTGATATTGAAAATCAAATTGATAAACTTATCAGCAAGTTTTCGCGTCAATTGCATGAACAATTTAAGAAATAAATCATGTACGTTTATTCGTGCCTGATCGCTCTAACACACACACGATCAAACGTATGATCGTACGTAATTATTTTCTTTCATAAAAACGTTTTACTCTCGTTAATCTTTTAATTTTACAAATCCAGTTCTACGTACGTACATGTACAGTCGCCTCGGAAAGTAACGCCCGATTTGGATTTAAATGTGACGTTATTGTTGACTGGAAATTTTTTTATTTCTTCGACTTTTAAACATACACTGGACGAAATTTGTTGGCTGTAAATATAACACACACCGCCTCCAGTTGATCGACTTTGACGAGGTAAAATGGTAATTCTTATTGGGATTTTGAGTGCCGTGCAAGTTGCAAGAAAAATGAGCCGTGACCCGATGACGGGATAATGGTCTCTTGCCGAATACAAGAGAAATATGAAAAAAGAAAATTTACCAGGGTCTGGAAGATCACAAGATCTTAACAAGCAAGAAAAAATCTTTGTAAAAATTTACCCGAAGATTTTTTAAGGTAGTTTCATCATTTTCATAATATGTTATGGCTTTTCAGCTTCACCCTAACCCTAATTCTAAAAAAGATCACGAAATAGGTTCATGAGAAGAATATTACAGACCTGGCTTCATAGAAAACATCTAGAAAAACAATATTCTAAAGTGTAAAAGCTTTTCAAAGCTGGGAACAAGCTCAAGACTGCTCTGAAGGAAGTGTAGTCAAAATTTAATGTGTTAGTTTGGGGAAGGCTGTGAGCTCGATGCTGTAAGGAATCGAAGTCATATTGAAGCCATATAGAGGGTGAGTAAGGTATTAGTTAATGGTAAAAAAATTTTATGTATATAAAGCAGAAATGAAATAAAACGAATATATATCTAAAATTTTATTTTTTAAAAAAATCGGGCGTTACTTTCCGAGACGTGTATATAAATGTATGAATAAAATAAACAAATTACACATAATACATCAGTTGATTTTTGTATGGTTAAATAATAATAAAAATATAGCTGCATATGCTTTAATAATTCATTTTTTAAAGTAAGTTGTTGCTGCAAATAGAGGAAGGTCCGGTGTATTGCTTGTCTTCGTAGCGTAAAAAAACCGGGCAGCGTCGTCATGCGTTTCACAATGGATATGAACAAATGCATTACTCCTGTTGCTTTTTAATATATGTAAATTGGAATCGTCAAAAATGCTTTGAGCCACTTTTCGAGCTCATTGTGTCGTAGACTCAGTCAAAAGACCGACTTGTCACAGCATGGACGTTTCTCGTATTGCGGGCGCGGTTTAAAGAAGATCCGCTTCACCATTATTATCTCTCATTATTTCCTTGATATGATTGTTGAATCCTTTAATGGATTGTTCTACAAATCCATGAGGCCGTATGAAAGGAAGAGTAGATGTACTTCCATGTAATAAAGGAAAAACAACACCTTCAGTGTGGAAGGATGGATGTACTTCATTGAGAAAATATGCACTTATCAACACATTTCTACCATGTGCCGCAATCGATTGACCGTCTGACTTAATGACTTCCAAAGAACTGAAAAAAAGCGCGTGTTTAAATAGAAAATAAGGGGTTTACTATATAATTTATTTGTTTGCTCACCTTTCTCAGTGAAAGTACATCCAGCCATCTATGTTGAAGGTGTTGCTTTTTCATTATCCACCCCTTTCATAAGTGAAGGTGTTGTTCTGAAAAAAACTTTTAACAGAAATGCTCTTCCAGTCCACGTCGTGGCAAGCCGGACCATTGTCTTTTTGAGTAGAAAGATTGAGGATATGAGCTCGAAAAATGGCTCAAAGCGTTTTCAACGATTCTTACATATTTGTTCATATCCATTGCGAAACGTATGACGACTCTGCCCGGTTTTTTATGCAAGCAGTATACCAGACTTTCCAAAATAGAAATAATTCGATTTGCTACAGCAAGCTTCAAGAGCCGTGAAAAAGATTTTATACGTCGAGGACACTCGGGAAAAGCATCAACGTTAATCCCGTACAGCGTCTAGGTTGAAGTAGCATGTCGTCTGTCAACACTTGATGTATTCACCTCCTTTCTAAAGGGTACTAGATTCACTCTGGACGGATTATAATGCGGAGGTTTTTCTGCCAAAAGTTACTATTTATTCTATTATTGATTTTGTTAATGACATAATTTTCTTAATAGCGTTGTGAGAATAACTGTCATAAATGACTACCGCCGGGTTCTTTCAAAGCATAGGCGGTTTGAAAAAAAACTAATTTTTGTTTGAAAAATAATAAGTAAAAATGACTAATAATAAACAATCTGTAAATCGGGTCTTTATTATGTGTATAGCTACACTCGGTGGACAAAAGTTTACAATCAGGAAATGATCGACATAAATTTAGGGTGGGTATTTTTCTATTGTACTAC